TACATGGCAGCCATGTGCTGCACATACTCTTCAACTATGCATTAAGATTGCTTTAATATTCAACAACAAGTTAAAAACCTCGTTAGTTTGGTACACAAAATTGCAGGTTTTTTCAACAGTTCTTTTGTAGGTCTAAAATGTTTAAAGAAATATAAACCTAAAAAAGGTTTTCTAGAATCATTACCACCACTTGATATTGTTACTAGGTTTAACAGCACATTTAAATTTCTGAATTGGTCAAGTAAAAATTGTACTGCAATAACAATGGGATTACGCAATGCACTTTAAGTGGTAGATGCGCAAAAGCTCCTCCATAAGCTTTATTGGTGACCATGAAAGATATTCAAAAAAATTGTGTTCCATTTTTAAAACCAATTTTGGACGCAACAACGCTACTAAGTTCTGATACTACTGTGGCTATCAGTTTGTTTAAATCTTGCATTTATGCTTGAAAAGTTCAATTAGATTCATGAAACTGTGGCTTTATGAGCAGCTTTTAAAAAGGAGTTACTTTCACAATTACATGCATGCTTTAATTTAGAAAATGTTATGTTCCTCACCTCATCATATTTAAACCCTAGATCTAAAGCCCTGAAATCGAGATTCAATTTTGAAAAACCATCTAATTGAAGTTTCCGTTGATTTTAAACCATGCGAAACTGCTCCTTGCGTAAATTCTATCAATAAAGAAACAGTTGAAAACTAATTTAAATGCATTGTCAAGTAAAATCTAAAAATTTACTTGACAATGCATTTAATCAAGTTGAGGAAAAAGAATTTAAAAAAACATTAACTTTTACAACTAAATTCTGCAAAAAGACACATTGAAAATTGCGTTGTTACGGAAATGGGTATCTACAGTTATTCGCAAACCATTAATAGTAATAATTGCCCAATTGAATACTGGAAAAAAAATCAAAATATTTTCCCTGTTCTTTCGCACGCGGCTCAATTTGTAATAGATGTACAAGCAACAAGTTGTTTTTCTGAACGAGTCATCTCAACTGGCGGAAATGGAATAAGCTATTCACGTCATTCTCTATCTAATAATAATGCTGAAACCTTGATTTTGGCATAAAAAATAAAGACATTTTATTTTAACTCTTTTTTATTCTATTAAGTAACGATCTCTTATTTCTTTTTTACTTTTTACTTTAAGTTATTTTAGGGGACTACAATACAAATGTCTTTGCTTTTGAGTTTCTTTAAATAACTTCAAGCCATTCTAAGAAAATTGACAGGCGGAATATGAAAATAAAAGAATAAACGGAATGTGAAGACTTAGTCCCTAATGAAGTTTTTTTTTTTGAAATATATATTATAAAAGTTAAGATTTCCTCAAAATGTTGATTCGATTCCTGATTTGAATTGCGATTAAAGACTTGCTTTGATTCAATATTCGATTAAAAAAAAATGCCGATTTGCATATATATATATATATATATATATATATATATATATATATATATATATATATATATATATATATATATATATATATATACATATATATATATATATATATATATATATATATATATATATATATATATATATATATATATATATATATATATATATATATATATATATATATATATGTATGTATGTATAAATGTAAATATGTATATATATATATAATAGGGCGGTCCTTTAAACAACTTTTTTTTTTAAATATCTTTTCAACCACTCAAAGTATGTTATACATAATAAAATATTACTACAATTAAAAAATTAAAAAAAAAATATTTTAAGGGGTAGCTCAAGATTCTTAAACATCAGATAAGTCCCTATAATTATTAAAAAAATAGTTCTTCAAAGCATATCGTGTTGGGTTTTAAAAAAAAATCGAAATTATATAAAAACTTCAAAAAAATTATTATTTTAGATTTCACTCGGTAAAAAATGACTTTTAAGCTAAAAACTAAAAATAAGCATTTTTACAAAAAAAATTTGTTGTAATTTTTTTGTCTTAATGTTTTTTATAAAACTTCAAAATTACTTTTGAAGTTTTATATAATTTTGCTTCTTTAAAGACCCAACATAATATACTTTTGAAGAACTATTTTTTTTTTGTAATTATAGGGACCCGTCTGATGTTCAAGGGTCTTGAGTTACCCTTAAAAATAAAACCCTTAAAAGTTTTTTTACCCTTAAAAATTTTTTTCAAAAATTTTACAGTTCTTTTATTATTTTATTATACAGAACACATTTTGAGCAATTTAGCAGGCATTTTAAAAAAAAAAGTTATTTTAAGGTTATTCAGAGCATCTTGGACAAAGCAAACTACATTATTTGATCTGCATCAAATTTGTGCAAAAAATGTATTTAACATACTGTTCCAAGGAAAAAAGTTCAACAAGAATGTCAATACAGCATTTTTATTTACATGTTTCAACTTAGCTTATTAATCAAGAATTGTTGGACACAATGTTTCGATTGATTTTCTAACATGTCTGGAAGTACTCATGAATTGCAGACAGTACTTGGTAAAAAGACTAACGTCATAAAAAATTATGTTAAATACCAAACAAAGTAAAAAGTCAAATCCAGTTATTCATTAAATCATTCATCGTACTTGGCTGTAGAGTTTGAAAACGCCGGTCATATTTTAACAAGTTTTGCACTGGACCTGTAATTATATGATTTGAGCTGCCGTGGGGCATTGGTAGCGCACTTGCCTCACAAACAATGGATCCCTGGTTCAAACCCCATCTCAGAGTGAGTTTTGCGACATCGGTTAGGAAGGAGGCGTGAACTTTTAAGCAGCCGTGGCGCAGTGGTAACGCACTTACCTCAGAAACATAAGATCCATGGTTCAGAAACATAAGATCCGTGGTTCAAACCCCACCTCTTGGCAAGTTTTGCGACATCGGTTGGGAAAGAGGCGTGAACTTCCTATTAAATGCTCTTCCGCAGTGCTCTGTGATAAGACCGTAAGGACTTCTTGGGGCACCTAAATCAATCAAAAAAAAAAAAAAAAAAACTTGTATGAAATTTAAAAAAAAAAAAAAGGCAGTAATTGCGTCATCATTAGCTGGTTAAATGATTATGCTATAATATTAAAACTTTATTGAAGAGATTTTAGGCATGCAGCTCAATTTTTGCTCAGCAAATAAAGACTTTCTACTTTGATTTTTTTGAAGATTATGGAAGATTAAAACAGTATTGCAATATATTCGCGGATCATGCAAATTTCAAGAATATTCAACTAAATGAATTTGAATTCTGTTCTTGATTTGATTTTTTTATTAACTGAAAAAGCGAAATGAAGCTTTATTTTTTTTTTTTTCATTTTTAATTTTAATTAAATTATTATTTATGGAGTATGGGTGTTAAAGTGATCCAAGAAGACTTAACGGCCTTGTAACAGAGAACTGCTGAAGAGTATTTATTTACAGGTAGGTTTTCGCTGCTATCTTTACCATCGTTGTATATATGGGGCAGGAACTGGTTAATGGGAAGTTAAACAGCTACCTCAAATTTAAATATTCTAAATAATCTAATTATTTTTAAAAATTTATAATCTATATAAGACGTCAAGCTCTATATTTTATATATATTCTATATAAGACATCGTATATTCTATATAAGACATCAAGCTCGAATAATTACCAGAAGTTGTTTTTTTATCAACACAGAATTAAGTTGTTTAAAAAATGTTCGTTAAAACATGGATTTTTAAATTTTGTTTAATAACTCAGTAATCATAATAGATATAAGAACATTTTACATATCAAACAGCTCTGTCTATTGTAAACATTTTAAGAAAGTTTAGGAATATTTTACGATTGAGTAGTACTTATTGCACATACTTAAAAAAATATGGGATCTTTAGTGTTTTTACAATAGTACATTATTTGAAGTAGGAGTACAAAAAACATTTTTTGAAGTAGGAGTTCAGTTTCAAAAAAGTGTGGCTTGAGCCTTAGAAAATTTGTAGCAGCAGCAAACATGTAACGTAGAAATATATCAGCATTATACATGGTAAAAAATAAAAGAATAAATTAGGAAAAATTCTGGGGTCAATACGTGAAAAAAGAAAAAACAGCTGATAAATTATTCGTTTTTTTAACTTGGCTTATATAGTATTCATATAGATCCCGCAGCCAAATCCCGTACGGCTCCCGCTTGACATCCCGCACGGATCCTACACGGTACTCGCATCATCTGGAGTTTGTTGACCAGTTTTTACTTAATTTATCAGAAAATATTTATTGCTAGAAAGATATTGTTATGATGTTAATACAATATATTAATAAATAAGATTACGTTTTTTTGATCTTATATTCCAACATAAGTATTAACATTCTTGTGGTACGATTTGTGGGACATGGTAAAATTTACCCAAAATATTACTCAGCCTTCCCAGTAGGGTAAATTTAGCGGGTGTCTGGGGTAAGTTGAGTAATAAACAAAGAAATGCATGATATGAATAGCATACGCATGAATGACATTGTATGAATATTTTGCGAAGCTAACGTCAACAATAAAACTGTTTATAATTTACATACTTAAATGATAGAAATGTGAAAAAGTTAAATAAAAAGAAAGTGAAAAATTAAAACCCAGAAATCTTTTGCGACCCATGCGTAACCATTCTAATTCTTTAATTTTCATTTATTAAATCTTTTATCTTTCAGCGTTTTTTTAAATACTTACTTTCTAACGAGCCTCAAAAGTCAACTAGCTTCTACTATATATTGACATTTTTACTTTTCAAAACAATTCTACGTAGTAAAAAGATTTTTTTTTCAAAGTTAAACTCTCGTTTAGAGGCAGTATTAAAAAAATCTGTCCGTAAAAAAAATGTTTCAAAGTATAGTGTACCCTATTTAGGGTATGATTTATGTTATAATTTATTATAAGTTAATAAACTTAATGTGTTTTTTTTTTTTTTTACTTTTACAAGTAATATCAATTTTGCATTAGTTCAGCAAAAAATGTTGAAATCTAATAAAAAATTAAATTATAAAAACTACAAAATTATTAACGTGTAGGAAGTAAGTGGTGTGGAAAGCATACTGAAACTAAAGATAGATCGAGTGTATCACAAAATATGGCTGATTTAGAGTATTGTTGCAACCAACACTACAATTGCCCTCAAAAAGTTCATTTTAACCAAGAACATTGGAATTTCAAGAACAACTTTGGTTTTACTTTAAATGACTGCAAATGTGATGATAAGTTTTATCAATGTCTCAAAAAGGTAGTTATTTATTAAATTATACCGTTCATATGCAGCTATAATATAAAAATTTGTATAAATACTAATAACAAACGCAATAACCATGACTGCGTATTATAAATAAAGTCAGCCGTGTTAATTAAAACTATATCACTACTTTAGAAAAAAAAAAAAATTTATTAAAAAATTATTTTTAAAAACCGTAACTGTATGTATGTATGTATGCATGTATGCGTAGTACATATATATATATATATATATATATATATATATATATATATATATATATATATATATATATATATATATATATATATATATATATATATATATATATATATATATATATATATATATATATATATATATATCTGATGATCTAAAGCACAATAATCTAGCGTTCACTGCTGCTAAGGCTAATAAAATCTGAGGTACGTTAAAGCACACCTTTAGCAAAGATATAATAGTCTAGAAAAACCTCTATGTAACTTACATACGTCCATATCTAGAATATGCAATGACTGCCTGGTGCCCTTAATACAGCGTCGTGTCAAATTACGAAAGAAGATGTGCTAAACTCAAACTAACTTCATTAAGTGACAGAAGAAAACGTAGTGACCGTATCAAAAAAATCAAAATTGAAACCAAAACTAATTTAATCAACTGGCATATTGATCCTAAATTGATTTATCCTGTCTATGGTCATTACAAACGCTTTTGTTGCGAAGTTAATATCAACTGGCTTGTTTGTTTTAACTTTGTTATAATTCGGGTTGCGAATGCTTTGCCAGATAATGTTGTCAATGTCTCTACTAGCGACATTTTCCAAAAAAAACTAGACCAGCAACCATCATTGTTACCATAGTGCATTATTTTCCGTAGCTGTATTACTTCAGCTGTACGAGCTAGCTTGCTAGCTAATGATGAACTTTCAGTTCATTCTGTTCCGTGTAACTTGAATTGTGTTTAAATGTGTACGCAGCAATTGTATTATATTCAATTATATATATATATATATATATATATATATATATATATATATATATATATATATATATATATATATATATATATATATATATATATATATATATATATATATATATATATATATATATATATATATATATATATATATATATATATATAATTGAATATGATACAATTGCTGCGTATAATTGAATTTGTTTATTCCAAACAACCGTAACGTAAAAAATATTTTACAGAAAAATACATTACAGTGTTACCTTAGATGATGTTAAAGTTGTTGATGACTTATTTGTTTTTAAGGCAGCTTTTTTATATTAGTTTTTTTTATTTTTGATATTAGCTTTGTTCATTTTTGATATTAGATTTGTTTATTTAATTGTTCACAAATCTTTTTTTTTTTTTGATTTTTCAAAATATATTTAGAAAATTTGATGGAATTAGATTTATTTTCGAATTAAAAAGAATTTTTATTTTTATACCTACGATCTTTAATTGAGAACTTTGTTGTGTGATGAGTTCTTACCTTGCTGATATAAGTTATATTTTAACTAGTAAATATACCTTGCAGAAGATCTTGCAGAAGACCTTGCAGAAGACCTTGCAGAAGACATTTTGAAGATTGCCAGCAGTTATACTTTAAAACTAATAGATTGGAAACTTTATTATATTTTAATTGCATAATTTATATTTTTAAATATATTGTTAATGTTATACTGACATATTCCTAATGTTAAGAAATAGGCTATAACTTACTTTTAAGTTATTCCAATTCAAAATTTTGAAAAACTTGTGTGTTTAAATAGGTACAGAGTAGGGTTTAACATTATTCGAGGTTTTCTAGTATTAGAATTCTTCGAATATTCGAATATCAATTTTATAATTATTCAAAATATTCAAATAGTTAAACAATTTACTAAAGTAATTAAAAAAACAAACATTTGTTTGAGTTTAGCTTAGTTCAAAAACTGACTGCAACATTTAAATGGTCGAATTTTTTCGAATTTTTTTTCGAATTTCACAGAGTAGTCTTGTTTTAATTTTTTAATTGCACTTCATAAATATTTTATCTTAATAAGATAACGCAAGCAACCACTATTAGATTAGGAAGTTACTGGAAGAGAAAAGATGAAATTTAGAGAGCAAGATTGACAGACTACTTAAAAGATTGTAATCTATATAAATCAGGAAAACAAGAAAAAAGAAGCGATTTTCTAAGAATTGATGTCTAAGAAAAAAAACTAGACGAGTGGGAGTTTTAGGAGCACTAAGGAACAGTAATAGAAAAAAGGATGAAACTTAATTAAATGATGAGTAACACGAGAATGAATTTTAGTAGATGACACACGAGACGCTAGCACTTTAGAGCAGTGCCTATTATAGTATTTATTTGCAGAAAAGAAAAGAGAAGTAACATTACGACAATGCAATAATGGTTGGACCCAGTGGGCACCGGACCAAAAAAAGACGTCTTTTGAACGTTCAAAAGACGTCCAAAACGTTCAAAAGACGTTCAAAAGACGTCCAAAACGTTTAAAAGACGTCTTTTTTACGTTCGTGTCCACTGGGGAGGTTGGCTACAAAAGCAGGTCCAACTATGTCTTCAATGCGTTTTTGCACCTTTTCTAAAAAAGAAAGAGCATCATTAGAAGATCCGTCCCAAATATGGAAACAGTATTCCATACAAAGAAGGGTTTTTTTTTATTTTTTTTTTTTTTAGATGTATATATATTTCGTCGCTATGAGTAATTACAATACCAAACAACATGAATAAAAATAAAATATGACCGGGGCAAAAAGAAGACTGTAATTGTCTTATCGCTAAACCCCGTAATAAATACACCGTAAGTTACAATGCTAATAAATACCGTAAAAGTTACATATCTTTTAAATTTTTTTTTTACCGTTAAAGTTTACTAAAAATATATTTTAAATAGGGAATAAAATATAAAACCAAAAAAAAAGACCAGCAAAATAGAAGAAAAAACAAACAAAAAAGACAAAACAAAAAAAATAAATAAACAAAAAAAAAGCCAGTAATATTATTCATCATATTTATGGATCTGAATAAATAATCTTAGTAATCAACAATTATTAAAATTAAATTCTTAAACATATTTGTTATGCTGAAAATTATTAATAATAATACTATCATTTAAACGCTTTAGAAGAAATTTAGCTCATTGTCGTTTAGTAAAAGATTTTGCTTAAGTTTAGTTTTAAATTGATTATGTTAAGAAAGTGTTTTAAGATCATTATTTAAAAGTGTATTCCGTAGTTTAGGACCTCGGTTTGTGATTGAGTATTTAGTGGCAGAATAATAAACTTTGGATTGATAGTTATTATTTGAAAATCTAGTGCTGTATATATGATTTATTTTTTTAAATAAAGAGTTGAATAAAATTGGTGCCATTTTTTATCAAGTTTAAACATAAATATAAGAATATGATAGAGATTTAATTTAAAAACATTTAGAATATTAAGTTTGCTAAAACGTTTTTTTGTATGAGAGAAGCGATTTTTATTTGTAATAATCCTAATGGCATGTTCTTGTTTGCAGAGAAGTTTACTTAGTTTTGTAAAATTGGTGCTGCACCAAGCAATGTTACCATAATTAAGGTAACAGTGTATAAATGAATAGTATATATATTTAAGACAAGATTGGTTTAAGAACTGTTTAGCTTTATACAATATTCCAACATTTTTAGAAATTTTATTCTCAATTACACTTATATGTTTTCTCCACGTAATATTTTCATCGAGAATTACGCCTAAAAATTTTAGAGACATTTCCCTTTTTTATTATATTTTTATCAATAAAACGATTTGGAAGTTTCAATGGAATATTTACTTTTTGATGAACACGATGGAATAATGTGTATTTGGTATTAGTAATGTTTAAGGATAATTTATTGGATTTAAACCATTGGGTTAGTTTATCAAGTTCTTTGTTAACTATTAAGAATAAAATATTAATGTCTTCATGAGAATAAAATAAATTAGTGTCATCGGCGAATAAAATTGTGTTAAAAATATTAGAAAACTTATACAAGTCATTGACATAAATTAGCAACAAAAGGGGCCCTAGAATTGATCCCTGGGGAATGCTGCATGTGTTGATCATATTATCTGTTTTTAGACGAGTAACTAATAAACCAAGCCAAGTTTGAATTTTTGATCCCATAGATTTACAGATGTAAAGAATAGAATCCGGAGTAAGAAAGTGTTGAGCACGATAAAATGATGCAACCTTAACAGATGCTAATTTTGCAATGGATTGAAATATGGTTTCCAAGAAAGATTGGAAGTAAGAGTTAATCCTAAAAAACGAAGGGTAGATGACTCATTTAGTATATTACCATTCATAAATATAGGAAGGTCTAAATTATTGCAATAACGATTATCTAAAATAGTTTAGGTTTTATCTAAATTAAAGTTCACCAGTCACTGTGAGCCCATTCTGTAACAAAAGTGAGATCCTACTCAAGCTTGAATGCCCACTCTAAGCAATCAGAGAGTGTTGGCTTCTTATCAAGACAAAAATAAATGAGAGCATTATCAGCGAACAATGCCACCTCAGATGTAAGAATACCTGGAAGATTGTTAATGTAAATTAAAAAGAGTATAGAGCCAAGGATTGAACCTTCAGTAAGCCCTAAAAGTATAGGATATAAAGAAGAGTGATGTCTCTCAAGGATAACTTTTATACTACAAATGGAAAAGAAGGATTCAATAATCTTGATGAGATTACCTGATACACCTTAAGAAAAAAGCTAATGGAGGAGAACAGCATGCAAAACTTTATCAAAAGCTTTAGAAATGTCAAGAGCGATAGCTTTAACCTCTTCATCTCTATTATTACCGTTAGCAAATCACCTGCAAAACAAAAAGGTACATTTCCATATTGATAATCAGAAAGTAAATTATTAGATTTAACATGAGAGATTAAGTGACTGTTATTTAAAGATTTAAAAACCTTGCTTATGATAGGAAGAAGACTAATGCGACGGTAGTTAGATGAGTCAAAATGCTCTCCAGAATTTTGAAAATAGCGAAAATATATGCCATTTTCCAGCAGGCTGGGAGAAAACATACTGATAGACAATTCTTGAACATTTTTGAAAGACTATAACAGGTATGTTGTCCGGACCACTAGCTGTAGAAGAGTCTAAGCAGTAAACCACTTTAGACACAAATGCTGGAGTGATACGAATGTCAAGCGATGGATCAACCTGTTTTTTGGCTCAATTAGGTAAAACGCAACTAGTGGAATCAAGAGATGATATTTTTGAAAAAATCTTAGCAAACAGTTCAGCTTTGTCTTTAAGTGAAGTGACAAAATCTTAATCATACAAGAGAGGTGGAATAATAGATTTGACATTATTATTGATACTGTTAAAGATTCTCCAAAAGTCACCAGAGTCTATTTTTTGAGTTAAAATACGAGATTTCATGACCTGAGAATAGCGGGCTTTAGCGTTAGACAAAACCTTTTTGCAATGGTTTCTAGCAATAGTAAACAGACGTCTGTTTCTGAAGAATTGTTTAGCTGAAGTAATGGTTTCGATTGGCAATTGCAGCAGCACAATGTGAGGAAAACCATGGAGAAGAGCAAGACTTGACCTGAAATTGTCAACAGGGATTAAAGAAATCCATGCCAAACCTAGATCCAAGAAGTTATGTATAAAGCACATTTGTCAGCAGGAAGACGAAAGATTTCTACCCAAGGGCCATCACGAAGAAAATCACGTGAAGAGTCTCAGTCAGCTTTAAGATGAAAGGGGGATTCTGATGATGATGAAGAATGAGATAAAAGTTTTAAAGAGAATAAACCGTTATCAGAAGCACCTAAGGGCGAATGTGGAGAGACTGAGCACTGACTAGGATCAAACCAAGGTATTAGTCAAGTTGAGAAGGTAATTTATTCGGGTTATCAGGAGAGCGATTTGGAAAGTTGGCTATTTAAATTAGAGATCAAGAAAGGCAAAAGATACGGACCTTAACGAACATTAGTGAATGATAGGTTTATAGAACTTGGTGATGCGATAGTTTTTTGTGTTTTATAGATTTAAGTACTTTAGTCATTTTGTCAATTTGTTGAAGAACCTGACTCAAAGCATTGATAATACTCAGTACACTATTTAATAGTCCAACAATTGCCTAATTACTATTATTAAACCGTAATCCGAATTGAAGGACTACAAATGTAACCTCAATAATGCACACCAAAAATACAAACAGGGACACCAACCATACGCAACATGGCGCTGTTAGTACTCTAATATTTTACAGCTGTTGATATATATATATATATATATATATATATATATATATATATATATAATATATATATATATATATATATATATATATATATATATATATACATATATATATATACACATATATATATATATATATATATATATATATATATATATATATATATATATATATATATATATATATATGTATATATATATATATATATATATATATATATATTTATATATATGTATATATATATATATATATATATATATGTATATATATATGTATATATATATGTATATATATATATATATATATATATATATATATATATATATATATATATATATATATATATATATATATTAATTATTTAGATTGAAGGGATCGAAGGATATGCTGCACTAGCTGTGGGAAGAGAATACTTTGATATTTTAAAATCTCCATGCCTGTTAGTTCCGCAAAACCAATTTTCTATGGACCAAAAGCTGAATATTATCACAAAATACAGTTCTTCAAATCTGGCAATATTAGAAACCTCTGATGATTTTTATCCTGGTCTAAGTGACGTAGCGAAAGTCAAAAATTCAAGAAGATTTGAGATAAATTGATAGAAGAAACCCAGTTAAAATATTTGTTTAAAAATGTATTTACTAACTTTTATGACAAAATGAAAAATAATAGAAAAATTTAGTAATGAATTTATTGTTACTATAAAATCAAAATAACTTTAAATGCATCTATTACACAAAGTTCATTTATTGACCTCCACAAACTCATATTTCTCAACTTAAACTCGTTTGAAGGCTTTATCGAATTATAAATTCATAAATTAACTCAACTGAAAAATCAGGACTAATTAATAAAAATATACGAGAGGGGGATTAAATTAACAAATTAGCACCAAGACTTTAACTAAAAAGAAAAACAGCGACGATTTTCCATCAAGCCACACTTTAATAAAATGAATTATTTATCCGACTTATTTTTAATAATCGAATTTAATTCTTAATCATTAACTTTTTTCCCTTTTAAACCTATAAACATATTTTTTTTTTTTTTTTTTTTTTTTCTTTTTTTTTTCTATTTATTTTTTTTTTTCTTCTCCAGGTATACCATATAAAATATACATTTATTATCGTGATAAAAAGAAAAAATATATATAAAATTATTACGTTTCAGATTGATAAAAATACATTAATATAACTTTGATACATTAATATAGTATTGATGCAAACTTAATATAAATTCTGGTATAAAAACTATTATATATATGTTTATTTTTTTCTATACTTTAATACCTAAAAAAAGGAAATCAAAGAAGATTCAGCAATTTTTGGGTATAAAACTCCGAAAAAAATCTTTTCGCAGATTCCCTTAATAGCGCCGTTTGGCGTATTAAGGGAATCTGTATGTGTGTATGTGTATACACATATACACATACACACATATACACACACACACATATATGTATATATATATATATATATATATATATATATATATATATATATATATATATATATATATATATATATATATATTTATATATATATATATATATATATATATATATATATTTTTACTTTTATTTTTACTTTTTCTTTTTTTTCTTTTTTACAAACTAAGAATATGCAGCTTTTTTGCCGTTTAAACGACGATATTTCATTTATGTCTTTTAATTTTTGATTTTTCAAGTTTTTCCATATTTTAGGACCCTGTGACATAATTGAAAATTCAGAACCCCGGGTTTTAGTTTTTTAAATATAATAGTTATCGAAGCTATTTGATCGTAGATTATAACTTTGAGAAAATGATGACGAGAATATGTCTAAAAAAGAATTTGGTAGCATATTATTTTTATATTTAAACATAAGAATAAGAATCTGATATAAATTAAGTTTTTCCAAATTTAAGACTTTCATATTTGTCATCGCATTGGAAGGATTGTCCATTCTACCTAGATAATGAATTGCTTTACAAGCATGGTTTTGCAAGCCTTGTAGTTTGATTAATTTTGTTTTGTGTGTATTAGCCTACACTATATTAGCATATGTGAGATGAATGTGAATTAGACTAAAGTAAAATTTTTTTCTTGAACAGAAATCAAGAAACGGGCGACATTTATATAAAATACCTATTGCAGATGATATTTTTGTTTCAATGGGTCCAATAGAATTTTCCCATGTTATTTTTTTATCAATATGAACACCAAGAAACTTTGAATATTTTTCCCGTTATATTGTTATGTTGTTAATGAGCAATTCTGGAATTTTTAACGGTAGAGACATTGATTGACCTGTTTTATGAAATAAGATGTAGTTGGTTTTTTCACAGTTTAAGGATAGTTTATTTGCTCTAAACCATAAATTAAAGTTTTTCAGTTCAGTATTCATTGTTTCGAACCTCGATTTTAAATTACTATGATTATAAGATAAAGTTGTGTCATCAGCATATATTATTGAAGATACTATAGATGATGCTTTATGCATATTATTGATGTAAATTAAAAACAATAACGGTCCTAAGATTGATCCTTGAGGAACCCCACACTCAATATCAAGAACACTTGATTCTTTGTTTATTACAAACTGCTTTCTGTTACTCAGATAGCTTTTTACCCATTTATACATTAGTCCTTTGATACCATAATGTTTTAATTTTGATAGTAAGATGCTGTGGTCAACTGTATCAAATGCCTACTCCCAATACATGATCCCCTTTATCAAAAAATTGAATATTAAATATATATTTTCTTTACGAAATAGTATGTAACACAAACTTGGTATGTTAAGTGGAATTTTTAGATAAATTTTGTCTAGCTATTATGGAATTTTTAGATAAATTTTGTCTAGCTAAATAAATTGTCCGACAATAGCCGGAAATTTTAATAGGCCAGAAAAATATTTTTAATTTTCTCAAAGTGAGAAAAGATTTTTCTTCGTAACCTTGTATGTAATAAAAATTATTTTACATCAAATAAGTTTAAATGCAAATGACATTAGTTTTTTAGTTTTGTATAATTTTTGACTAAACTTATATTACTCAATATTTAATCATATTGCTGTGTTCAAAGTTTGTCACCACTTCATTTCCACCTCATTTCGAATGAGATGTGTTGCTTTTTTAGTTACATATTAGTTGTATATTAAAGTAGTTTGATCATTTTCTATATTTAAGAAGAGATGTGAGTCCATTCAATTATCATTAAACGATCTTATTTATTGTTTTTTGTTTTTATTTATAACTTTCATTTCAATAAAAAAAATGCATTTTGAAAAGAAAAAAGTTTGGAAATAAGATAAAATTAATGAAAAATATAAACTTGAAATATCAAGAATCTTGAAACTCGAACAAATAGTTTATTAATAATGAGGTCAAAAGAAAATGAGTCGATGAGGTTGGGGTAAATCTATTGTAAAACAAGATGTTTTTATGTATATATGTATAGATTTACTTCTATCTTGTTAAATCATTTTTTTGAATCTTTGTTTATTGCATTTTTTGAGTATATTTTATTAAGTCAAAAAAACGGATAACGTATATTCAATTCCTCCGCATTTCCTCAATTTAATGGTTAAGACATTACTTCTTGTGATTGCCAAATGGTAAATAGATTTAAGTATATAGTAAAATGGGGTAATTTCGCCACTTTAGAAATTTCGCCACTAATTGGTGTATATAAATAGATAAAAAATAGATTTTTATAACTATAACTTTACTTAAAAATAAGATTTTTAGAATTCAAATTTCTATTTAGAAGAAAAACAAATTTCTTATCAAAATATGTAAAAAAAAAAATCTTTTTTTTTGTGAAAACTTGATAAGAAAATTAATTGACAGTAATAATCATAAAAATTTAATAATATACTTCCATTCAAAACTAAAATATTGGAAATTTTTTGAAGAATTTTGAAGTATAATTTGATCGGAACAACAGCCACAAAAGTAAGTTGCAAAAAAACAAAAAAAATTCTAAGAGTTTTGATAGAAACTTAATTATACAAGTCAAGAAAAATCGCTTTATTTCTGCTCGAAAACTGGCTAAGCAAGCTCAAGAGAATTATGGAATCAAATTATCCCACCAGACAATCAGAAATCGTATCCGAGACCAGGGATTTCAAGGACAACTTGTGCGTAATAAACCATATTTGAGTAAGAAACACATTAAAAGAAGATTGGAGTTGGTTAAGAAGTTCAAAAACATGCCATTAAGTTTTTTGAAAAAGATCCTGTGGAGCGACGAATCGAAAATTGACGAATGCCCTTAGCATTCCACATATGCAACATTTTTTATAATTACAAACATCACACATATGCAACATTTTTTATAATTATAACAAGGAATTTAACAGCGACGAAAACAAAATAATCTCTAAAGGTGTAACTTAATGGTCAAATGACAACATCTCTGTTTCCGATGACATATTACCATATATTTACTTATATAGTATCAGACTATATTTTAAAATAGAGGATGCTAAACATAAAATAGCTGGTTACCAGTTATTCAAAGAAAATTATGTAAAGTAAATTTGAGTTAAGCCAAATATTTATAGAATATATAAAAATATATAGAATATATAGAATATATATATATAGAATAACACCAAGAAATGACAATGGCTATGTAAATTATTGAAATTAAATTTGGCCAAAATCATTTTGTGAAATATTTACAAAGTAGTAAATGAAAAAATGTTAAAAAATTTAGGTCTAGTTTCAATGGAAAAATTTCTAATGGTTTGTCTGAACCATTTAATTAAAACTAAGTTGACTAAGGAAAATTAAAGCTTGCCATAATTTTAATCAATTTAAAGAAAATAATTCAAGTTAATCAGAAACTAAAGGTCAATACAATAACAAAAGTGGGTTGAAGAACAAAATAAAAAACTTACTACATCAAGCTTTCGTACAGTTATAAACGTAGAAATAATACTCTTCCAACTTCATTACTCAACTTTTTTATTCATTGTTAAAAAACTGAGATGGTAAGTACTGAGATGAGAATCTGTGATAGTAGTTTACAATCACAAGCTTGTTAGTGGAGTAATGAAAATGAAGATTTTGCTCATGAAAAGTTTAAAGTAAAAGTTAACTGACATAATAAAAAATGTGATCTTGTTATAAACTCTAAATGCCATGACTTGCTCTAGCCCTGATGGGTTGTGTATTAACTAGGACAGCTTCAAAATAATTCAAGTAAAGTGTTCTTTTTTAAAAAGAAATCTTTGTCTACATAAAGTTGTACCAACAAAACTTTTTGTATGGAAATAGTAATAGACAGCAAAAACTAAAAATCAAACAGTTAAATTTACCAATGTTGAGGTATCAAAGCTTTTACAGAAAAGAGCAAAATTAACTTTGTTCTTTACAAAAATGAAATCTTTTTTTGTGCCATCAATTAAATTTTAAAATAAAAACTGGTTCAATAAGATTTCACTATGTTTAAATACATTTTATTTTTAGTTTATGATTAAAAAATTATTTGAAAGGATGTAAATGTATGTAAAAACTATTATAAGAAATTATTATTTTTTTTATTCTTCAATATTTTCTTTGTTGGGAATTGCATAAAACAATAAATTTTTATGTTTTACTTAGTTGCTAAAGCATTTAGGTACAAACAAGTAAAATCCCGACTTCTTTTTTTTTGTTTGTTTTTTAGTTGAAAAACATTGTTTCGTGCACTT